TTTCCAATTTCAGTCCCTTATGGTCAGAGAAAATGCTTGGTATGATTTTAATTTTCTTGAATTTGTTGAGGCTCGTTTTGTGTCTTATCATGTGGTCAATTTTTGAAAATGCTCCATGTGCATTTGAAAAGAATGTGTATTTAGCTTCTTTGGGATGAAGGGCTCTATATATATATCAGTTAAGTCCATTTCATCTAGGGTGTTGCTTAATGCCACAATATCTTTGTTAATATTTTGTTTGGAAGATCTGTCCATTTTTGATAGTGGGGTGTTAAAATCCCCCACTATAATTGTGTTGCTGTCTATATCTTTCTTGAAGTCCTCTAAGATTTTCTTGATATATTTTGGTGCTCCTATGTTGGGTGCATATATATTTACGATGTTAATGTCTTTTTGGTGGATTCTTCCCTTGAGTATTATGAAGTGACCTTCTGGGTCTCTCTTTATGGTCCTCTTTTTGAAGTCTATTTTGTCTGATATGAGAATTGCTACCCCAGCTTTTTTTTCTTGTCCGTTTGCTTGGTAAATTTGTTTCCAGCCTTTCACTTTTAGTCTGTGATGGTCCTTTCTCCTGAGGTGGGTCTCTTGTAGGCAGCATATGTGAGGGTCATGCTTTCTTATTCATTAAGCTATTCTGTGTCGTTTGATTGGACCATTTAATCCATTTACGTTTAAGGTTATTATTGCTAGGTACTTATTCATTGACATTTTTGTACCTGTGTTCTTCTCTGTCTCTCACTTTTCCTTCCTTTCCTTAAAGTAGTCCTTTTAGTATTTCTTGTGGGACTGGTTTAGTGGAGACATATTCTCTTAGACTTCTTTTGTCTTGGAAGCTCTTTATTTGGCTTCTATCTTGATTGATAGCCTTGCTGGGTAAAGTAGCCTTGGTTGTAGGCCTCTGGTTCCCATTACTTGGAATATTTCTTGCCATTCTCTTCTTGCTTGGAGTGTTTCCATTGAGAAGTTAGTGCTAACCTTATTGGGGCTCCCTTGTATGTTATTTCTTTTTTCTCCCTTGCTGCCTTTAAGATTCTCTCTTTGTCTTGGAATTTTGCCATTTTGATGATGATGTGTCTTGAAGTGGGTCTCCTTGGGTTCCTCTTGATTGGGACTCTCTGTGATTCCTGGATTTGTGTGACTTTTTCTGTCATCAAATTAGGAAAATTTTCTCTCATTACTCTTTCAAATGTTTTCTATTCCTTGTTCTTCTTCTCCTTCTGGTATCCCTATTATTCGGATATTATTACGTTTTACATTGTCTTGTATTTCTGTTAATCCCTCTTCATTCTTTCTAAGTTTCTTTTCATTTTGCTGCTCCTTCTGTGAGATGCTTTCTACTTTGTCCTCCAGCTTGCTAATCCTATCCTCCGCCTCTTCTATCCTACTTTTGAAACTATCTACTGTGTTCTTCAATTCAGAAATTGTATTCTTCATTTCCTCTTGTCCCTTGGAGATAGTTTCTATTTCCTTTTTCATGTTGATATAGTTTGTGGTGAAATCACTGTAGCTCCCCTGTAGTTTTTGGTAGCTTATTGTGAGCTCTTTGAACTTCGTGACTATCAGTCCTTTGAATTCACCATCTGTTAGTTGATAGCTTCTATTTCATCTAACATTCTTTCTGAAGCCTCTGCTTTTTCTTTTATTTGGGGATTGTTTCTTTGTCTTCCCATTGTTTGTGAGACTGTTCTTGTTGGCCTCAACTTCTAAAATTGATCTGTTCTGACTCCCTGGTTTTATGCTGTGAACCTCTGTGGTATACTGCCTGTGAATTTCAGTGGTGCAGACTCCTTAAGGTATCTTGATGTTCTTTCTCCGTTTCCACCTCCTCCTTTTATTGTGTATGTGTAATCAGTTGTAGGAGGAGGCAAACTGGTTTATGACAGCATAAGAGTTTTTTATGATATTTACAGTCACAGCTGGTAGAGAGGAGATAGGCAATCTTTAGAGTGTATATTGTATTAATGGTATTCTTCAGCCCAACTTGACACTTTTAGGAGAGGATGGACAAAAGATAAGCCTCTTGTTGGGGAGGGAAAGCTTGTTAGTTGTAACTAGAAAGCAGTGAGGTTTTAGATGGTCAGATTTTGAGGTAAGGTGAGTGTAAGGATCGGTAAATAGGTGTGGTGTGTGAGCAAATCAAATTAACCACTACAGTGATAGAATTCAGGGACCTGTACAATGGGCTAAGATCCGGGAGATGTGTTGTGAAGTATTTACTGTTGTATAGATCAGCTATTATTTACACTAATATTAGAGCAGCACTCATATAACAATCTCTATGTGATCTGTCTGAGTAGGGGGTATAGTGCTTTAGGTAGTGTGCTAAAGGAAAACAAGTGGTGTGTAGTTTAGAGGGTCAGCAAAGCACTGTGGAGGAAAGGACAGGGGGAGCCTGTCTAATAATACAATATATCTACTAGAGACTAAGAAGCCTCTACAGAAAGAGGAGGAATACAGAGATATTACTAGAATATAAAAGAGGTGAAAATAATGAAAAAAATATACATCTCCTCGTGGCTTCTCTGCTATAGGAAGGTGAAGTTTGTTTCTCTGTCTCTACTGTTGACATGCCCCCTCTTTGGGTCCCATTCTGGTCCTTTCACAGTTCCTAGTTGTTTGTGTCTCTTGCGGGTAAAAGGAAACGAAGCAACATATAATCAAATGAAAAGGCAGGAGAGGGGATACGAAAGCAATTAGTTTAAGAGGAAAGGGAGAAGGACTAAAATGGAAAAAAAGAGGAACAAAGTACAGAAAGATAAAGCAGTGATAAAATTTAAAAATATATAAGGTTACTAAACTAATGCACAAAAAAGTTACTAAAAAAAGGAAAGAAAAACCAAAATTTAAAAAAAAACCAAAACAAACAAGCAAACAGCAAAAAACAAACAAACAATAACAACAGCAGAGAAACCCTTCCCTTGTTGGTTTCAAACTGTCCAGACTGGTTTTTCTAGTTGTAGCAGGATCTGTGTGCTGGGATGCTGGCGCAAGTGCGCGCACCAGCCAGGCTACCAGATTGGGGTGTGGGCACCTGCACACTTGCTGGGCACACTCCCGGAGCAGTCCGGGACTGCGCCACCTGCGCTTCCAGGTCCTCTGGCGCCGGCCCCAAAGCACTTCCCGATCCTAGTGGCATCGGCGAGAAACTGTCTGGCGCTTCCCGGTCCAGTAGCACGGGTCCAAAGATCTCTGCGCCAGTGTGCGCAAGAATACGGCAATGCGCTTCCCTGGATCTTAGGCCCCGGCCCCGAAGTCTCCGTACCCAGCGCGTGCCTGCCAGCAAGAAACCGGCAGGGAGCTTCTTTGTTTGGTGGCGCCGGCCCGAACTCTCTACGCCCGCGTGCGCTGGTCCTTCTGGGACCTGCGTAACCGGCTGTGGGCTTCCCAGTCCCCCGGTGGTGGCTCAGAGGCCTCCGCTTCCACCAGGCCTTCTGGGACCTGGAGTAACCGGCAGGGCACCTCCCATTCCCATGGCCAGTCCCCAACTGCCTCCACTTTCCCCCTGGCTCGCTGCAAGGCCAGATAGGAAGCAAGCCAAGCTGCCCTGGCAGGAGAACACCTCAGTCCACTTTCAATAAAAAAACAAAATGAAACAAAACTCTCCAGACAGCCTGTCTCTCATTCCCGCTCAGTCCCCAACCAGACCCGTGATGCCAGTGCGTCTCTGGATTCTTCCAGGCTTGCGATCACAGAGTCTGCAGTTGAACCGGGCCCTGTGTCTGTGTACCCCTTCCCAAAAATGCAAGCTGGCAAGCTGACAGGTCTCTGCCCGGTGTTGTCCAGTTTTGCTTATACGGGAAGCGGGGGAGCTGCTGGCCCGTGCTGGTGGCCACTGGGGCCGCTGGGTGCCCAAGCTCCTGTGGTAGACCTCTCTGGTGTTGGTCTCAGACCGATGGCTCTGGATCCCGGCCATAGAGGCAGCACCCGGGCCACCTGGCCTGGGGCGCCAGCCCCCGCCGCTTTGTCTTTACTCTCGTCCCCAAAACCCCACTGACCTGCTGCTTTCTGGTGTTTCAGCGTCCAACACAGTCTCTGTTCTTTTAATTTCACAAATGCTGGATAACTGATGGATTAGTGTGCTGCTTTTCTACAGATCTGCCAGGATTTTCACCCACGAGTGCGGGAGCTAGAATCCGCTCCCTCTTACTCCGACGCCATCTTCCTTCCTCCCGTGGATAACTTTTGTATCTGATGGGTAACACCCAGTTCCTCACTCTATGGGGTTCTGGTAAGGTGTAAACCAAGGGACGCCTGCCTCACCTCAGAGAGTGAACACAACATAAGTCAGACTGGCCAAACAAAGAATGCCATCCCTCAGAGAACAGTGACTGGAATAGGAGTGGACATTTGACATCACACTTTTGGCAATTGATATGGATATTGACAAAGACATCTATCTCTTTTTTTAAAAAGTACACATGCAAAGGATAGATTGCAAAGGGCCACCCTACCCAGAGCTGAGAGAGAAAGAGCCAGCATCCTGATATCATTTAAGCACTTGGATTATGCCATATGTTACATTCAAACTCTTAGATATTTCCATTGTATTAGCTAATAAATTGTCTTTCAAAGTTTAATCTAGGTTATATTTAGTCTCTGTCACCAGTAATTAGAAGAACCTTTACCAACTTATAAAACAGCTGTATCTGAGAAGAGGATGCCCTGGCCCATGTTCCTCAAGCTGGCAGCCAACATGTAGCTGCCATTCTTTAAGGCAGGGGTGTCAAACTCATTTTCACTGGGGGCCACATCAGCCTTGCAGCTGCCTTCACAGGGCCAAATGTAATTTTAGGACTGTATAAACTTTAGGAAACTGTAAGTACTCCTTAACAAGGGGCAAGGAGCTCCGTGCTGCTGCCAGGTAGAAACAAGGTACTGGGCCAGATAAAATAAGGTGGAGGGCCGAATTCAGCCTGCAGGCCTTGTGCGTGCCACCTGTGCTTTAGGGTGAGATTGGACAGTGCCCCCACCACCATCATCCACATTTAGTTCCCTCTTACCTGGAAATAGTTCAAAAGTATGCCAGCCCCAGACAGTCCCAGGCCTGAAAACATGAAGGGCACTGTCACCTGAAAGCCAATGGCTAAGGCAGTCTCCCTACTGAGCTCAGTCCTCAGTGGTTTAGTGGTCACTTTCTGGCTCTCAGGGATACTTCGAGGTCCATCTTCTGAGGCTGCAGCGAGTCTTCTTGGGTTGAGGGTGTATGGCAGCCCTACCACCTCTGGCCTCCGCTGTCGGGTTTTTGTCCCATCCATGCGAGCACAGCTGAGCTCCTTGTAGCCTTAACCTGGAGACACAAAGCAACAGGGATGGTAGGACAGAGTTCTTGACCCCCAGTGGGGCTGATAACTGTAAGTCCTCAGGCCCTTCTGTCTAACAGAGGCTGGCATTATTCTGGTCAATCCACAGCCCTTCATTTGGTGACTACTCCATATGGTCTCCTACAACCCCAATTTACAAACTTTTAAATTTAATATGCACACATTTGAGAAAAATACAAATACAGAACAGAGCATTAAAATATGTGAACTGGAACCAGCAAACCAGTGATATAAGGACCCATGAAAATTCTCTCCTTCAAAAAACCAACAGAAAATTGTTGTTTATCACTTTTTTCTTGGTCCGTGACCACCTCTCCCCCCACCCCCAGTAGAGCTTTTTGGCTAAATGAACTAGGTTATTTGAAATTTCCAATTTCTAATGTTTCATTATTTCTATACCCTTTCTCTGTACTAAAATTATCAACAAAATTGCTGATAAAGGAGAGGTGTAAAATAGCAATACAAAGATGTGAACGTTGGTTAATGTTAGAATCCTGGGAGTTGCCATCAGCTAAAAAAGAACTAGTGGGAGGAGGATGTGGCTCCTTGCTCAAAGACTTAGAGCTCTGCTCTAGTAGCCACATCCTGCCTGTGGCTAGGTCAATCCAGGTATCACATCCTACTGTTTTGTTGGATGATAAAACACCATTTGCTATTGAAGAAGGGGGTCGTTCTTTGCAATAAATCAATGTTATCATGAAAGGGTAGTACACATTTCAAATTATAGGAAACTTGGAGCTTTGAGAATTACATATACATGTGAAGGTGTTTGTGGTCAAGACCTTTTACTACTAATAGAAAATAATATATCATCATAGAAGAGAATTTGGAAAATACAAAAAGTGGCAAAAAGGAAATAATTCAAAGTCCTCTCCTCTGATATATTGAGAATAGCAATTTCTTCTGCTAGTATATATATGTGTGGGTACATATGTGAGTACATATACATGAAGATTTTGTTTTAGAAGTAAATACTCATATGTATTTACAAAATGGAAATCATGTTATAAATAATTCCCATAATCGCATTACATAGGAACAATTTTTATTCTTGCTTTATTCACTTAAAATAACATTTTAAGAATTTTTGTTGTTGTTTTCTTAATTTTTATTTTTTTAATTTATTTTTTATTGATTATGCCGTTACAATTGTTCTATTCCCCCCTTAATTCCCCTCCACCCTACCCCCCCAATCCCCACCATTACCCCCCCTTTAGTTTATGACCATGTGTCTCAAGTTCTTTAGATTCTGTATTTCCCATACTACTTTGCACCCCCATCTATTTTCCACGTACTGTCTATGCTACTTATTTTCTATACCTCCTCCCCCTTCTCCTCCTCCCACTCCCTTGTTGCTAACCCTCCTTGAGATCTTCATTTCTATGTTTCCACTCCTGATCTAGCTGTCCTTTTAGTTTGCTTTCGTTTTAGGTGTGGTTGTTAATAACTGTGAGTTTGTTGTCCTTTCACTGTTCATGTTTCTTTAATTTCTTTTTCTTAGATAAGTCCCTTTAACATTTCATATAATAAGGGCTTGGTGATGATGAACTCCTTGAATTTGGTCTTATCTGAGAAGCACCTTATCCGTCCTTCCATTCTAAATGAAAGTTTTTCTGGATAGAGCAATCTTGGCTGTAGGTCTTTGGATTTCATGACTTGGAATACCTCTTTCCAGCCCCTTCTTGCCTGGAAGGTCTCTTTTGAGAAATCTGCTGACAGTCTGATGGGGACTCCTTTGTAGGTGACTGTCCCCTTAGCTCTTGCTGCTTCTAGGATTCTCTCCTTCATTTTAATCTTGGCTAATGTAATGATGATGTGCCTTGGTGTGTTCCTTCTTGGGTCCAACTTCTTTGGGACTCTCTGAGCTTCCTGGATTTCCTGGAAGTCTATTTCCTTTGCCAGATTGGGGAAATTCTCCTTTATTATTTGTTCAAATAAGTTTTCCACTGGTGGCTGTGCCTTTCCCCCTTCTGGTACCCCTATAATTCGGATGTTGGAGCGTTTAAAGATGTCCTGGAGGTTCCTAAGACTCTCATTTTTTTTGAATTCTTGCTTCTTCACTCTTTTCTGTTTGGCCATTATTTGCTTTCTTCTGGTCCACTCCATTGATTTGAGTCCCCGTTTCCTTTTCATTGCTTTTGGTTTCCTGTGCAATTCCATTCATTTCAATTAGTTTTGCCTTCATATGTTTGTCTAATTTGTGGCTATAATCAACCAATTCTGTGAGGATCGTGATCACCAGTGTTTTAAACTGTGCGTCTGAGAGTTTTGCTATTTCTTCATCACTTAGATTTATAGGCTCTGGGGCTTTGAGATCTTCTTGAGCCATTTTTGGCCTGTTCGCACCTGTTAAGTATGAGGAGCAGAGCGTTTGTCTCCCAGGTCGCTGGGTTGTGATGCTGTATGTGGGGACGTGGTCAGAGTGGAGAAATGGCGGCCCCCTTTGCTGTTTCGCGCTGCTGGGTGAGGAGCAGAGCCTTAGGTGGTTCACCAGGGCCGGGCCACTCTGAGTTACTGGGTTATGACGCTGTATGTGGAGGCGGGGTCAGAGCCGGGAAATGGCAGCGCCCTCCGCTGCTGCTCGCTCCTGGTCCAATCGCCCACTCGCTCGCTTGTCTATCCCGCTTGTCTATCTGCACATGAATGCGCGGCTACAGTCAACCCACAGCCCTGCTCCCTCGCTGTTTATCCTCGGTCGCTCGCTCAGTCGCTCACTAGGTCCAACCCTGCGCCTGGATTCCAGGCGCCTGAGTCAGTCTGACGGAGTTTTCCTGTGCTACCCTGCTTCGCCAGCTGCTGGTTTCACCCCTCTTACTGGTCAGGCTGAAGAATCTGTTGTTAACAGACTTCCAAAAAGTTCAATTTTCTGTGTTCTGGCTGTGTTTTCTGTTGCTAATATTTAGTTGTCTCTAAACTTGGTTGTGTGAGAAAGAAAGGCATCTCCACCTATGCCTCCATCTTGGTGGAAGTCACATTTTAAGAATTTTTTATGTTAAATGTTTTTTGAAAACACTTTGAATATCTGTAAAATACTTCATTACATCAGCAATTCTCAAGCTTTTTGTATGCATCAAACTTATCTTAAAGACTCCATGACTGCTGGGCTTACCCAGAGTTCCTGAGTAAACTGGTGTCAGGTAGAACCAGGAACAGGCATTTCTAATAATGTGTTTGGTGATGCTGGCCTTGCTGGTTGGGAGACTACACAGTGGTTGACTAGATTATATAAACATTTTCTTATCATTGGAATTAGGATTATTTATCATAAATAACACTGGACTGAAAATTTGTTCACATGATAATTTTTGTAGTATAATTTTCTGTAATGGAAATAACTGACTAAAAAGCTGTGAACTTTTTGGACATTTTCAATATGTATGACCAAACTGATCTAGAAAACCTGTACCAAATACACTATATATGAATTCTCTTATTCTACCAAAGCCTTTTTGTCACTTAATTTATTCTATGTTTTCTAAGTATTTAGTCAAAATAATATTTCAATTTATATTTCTTTACCAGTGAAGAGAAACATCTCATTATTTTTTCATTATCTGTTTGAAAGAAATATGAACAAAAATATCTATGGTTGTTTTCTTCAAGCTTTTGGGAACTTAAGATTTTCCTTCTATGTCTCTAGGAACCCTTTATATGTTCAGGATATGAATCCCTAGTTGTAATATTTGCCACAGATATTTTCTCATCTCACCAGCTGTTTCTTTATTAATTTGCTGTTCTTGACAGAGTGACTTTTCAATTTTTATATAGCAAAGTTGGGTTTTTTTGTGACTTGGTTTGTTATTTAGAAAATAGGAGTCTTAAGATAAACTAAATATTTTTCCAATTAAAAAAAGCAACAGAAAATTTTCAGAATAAACTTTTTCAAAATTCTGGAAATCAAAGACTTGAAGCAACACAGATTTATTTGAGGGAAAATGCTGAGTCCCAGGAAGAACAGCAACACTATAATGTCCAAAATGTTTCAACTTGCCTTAGTCCCATCCTCTGCTCTTTCCCTCTTCAGCCACCCTAAAAACAGGAAGGAACCGAAGTGGTGGGTGTCCAACTTGTGGGCCATGGGCTGCAAGCAGCCCAGGATGGCTATGAATGAGGCCCAACACAAAATCATAAATTTACTTAAAACATTATGAAATTTTTTGTGATTATGTGTCATAATATATTCTAATGTGTGGTCCAAGACAACTCTTCTTCTTCCAGTGTGGCCCAAAGATGCCAAAAGGTTGGACACCCCTGGAGAGCTTTTTCAAAGCCTCATTCCAAAAGAATTTTCATTATTAGATCTGTTCTGTGGTTCAATAGAAGATCTACCTGCAGACAGTCTATATTTCACCTGACTTATAGATTGCTTAGTGTAAAAAGGTTTTTCCATTGGGGATATTTGTTGAAAACAATTATAGGCACTTTGTGGCTGCCTGAAACAGTAAATAATAGTTGGGATAAATAATACACTAACCAAGCCCTGGCTGGTGTGGCTCAGTGGATTGAGCGTGGGCCTGCGAACCGGAGGATCATGGTTTGATTCCCAGTCAGGGCACATGCCTGCACTGCAGGACAGTTCCCAGTAGGGGACACGGGAGAGGCAACCATACATTGATGTTTCTCTCCTTCCCTTCCCCTCTAAAGATAAATAAATAAAAAATTTTTTAAAAACAATACACTAACCAAAAACCTAAAAGGAAAAGCTAGGGAATGAGATATCTATACAGGCTTTTAAAAGTTCCTACATTATGTCTGGGAATCTAGAAGGCCACCCACAGTAAGCTGAATATATATATATATATATATATATATATATATATATATATATATATAATACCTGAGAAGGCCCTAAGCTCTCTCATCCCCAGCTAATTTGGGGGCTCTGCACAGGGAGAAAGTGAAGGTTAAGGCACAGTTGTAACTACCTGACTGAATGTAAAAGGTGTGCACAGAACCACTTGGCAAA